ATATACATTTATTTACCCCTCAACAAACCTCTTTTTGTCTTCTTTTCTTTTATGTAGGCATTTCAGCCTTTCAAGTATAAGCAGTGTGTTACCAATTCAAATCAGTTACTACACCGCCATTCTTTTTGACTAGCAGATCACTGCTCATCCTGCTACCTCTAAAGTCTCAATTACTTTAGACATTCTTGTACGCTGTGAAATAGTGTGAGTCGTGTTTTATTGGTGTCTCCAAACATGCTATGGAAATATTTCAAGGGATGGAGAAAGACGCTGGAGAACAAGGGTATTGGAATAACGCCAAATGCCACACATGAAATCCAAATATTGACATTATATGTGTCATAAAAGTAGTCATACCATTAACTGCCACTACGGTGCCTTTGAGCGGGAGGGCCAGGATTTTCTACACTAGCAAAATAGCTGGGTCGAATTCAGTCGCTGTGTGAAGGAGAATTCTAGTGGCCAGCTGCTCTGTCTCTTCCTTGTCTTATCCTCACTCCTTATACACACTACCACAAACATGCACTACACTTCCACACATGCTGGGAGGCCGGTCTGGAGCTTGGAGCTTGCCCCGGCTGAGGCGGTGCCCCGCTGATGGCAGATATCTGGTTTGGGAAAACCCCGCTAGCCGACGGTAGGCCGGCGTCGTATCTCGCCATCCAGCGGGGGAAGATCACAATCTCTCGCGTAAAAAGCATGAACTACACTTACGGGACTAACGACTTAAACAGTCGACGCGCCCGCAATCACTATTCAATAAAAAAATAAAAGTACTGGGTTTAGAACATTATGATTATAACTAGCGCGACACGCGCGTTCGACAAGGGTCAGTGAAAAGTGAGCGGGGGCGCCGGCTGTCCGCTCTAAATGACGTCATTGTAAGACTGAAAACTGCACCAACATTGTTATAGTGCATTTTCACAGAAGTGTTTTACGTAATTTAGAGCTGGTCTTTTGATATCTAATTTTAGATCGAGTTAAAGGGAGACTAAGAACGACTGCGAAATTTATTATTCGTGATTATTTTTTAAGACGTTTTCTTAGACTATTAGGACAAGCACGATGATGCAAACTCTCCTGCACCAATTCGTTGGAAAATTTAAAAAACATATTTTTTGTGATTTTGGTACAGGAAATCGAAGCTCAAATTCTCTTCACCCATTAGTGCAATTTTGGAATTCAATTTTAATCTCATGATAAGATTTACATTGTTGCTAAATTGAAAAAAAAGTGAAATCATTTGAAGTATTTATTAATACCATTTTATTATAAAACTGCAAAGTCTGTATTTGGAAAATCCTTGTCTGTAGAAATAAAATAACTCGACAAAGTGAAGCATGAGACTCGAATGCACTTTTAATTAGGGAACTCAAAATTGAAAGATACGCTGAAATGTTTTGATATGCTCCTTAGGGCTAGGCAACTCATCAAACATTCCAATCAGTTTCTGGGGTCTCAAATATGTGACAACTATCAGATAACGTACGATTTAGAATACGGAATCCCAAAGTATGAATTATCCTGCGCTCTGAGTGGTTACCGATTTGATTCACGCAAGTGTCAAAGGTGATGCATCAACAGGCGCCAACGCCCTTTATTCGTTCGTTCATGCTACGTTGGCCAAGTAACGTATACCATGTTTCTTCCTTCAAAATGATCAAAATCACCAGGAGTCCTCTCCCTTCCATTCTTGCTTAGCCTGGGGGAGTAATTCAGACGCATTATTGCAAAAGATTTCTTACTTATAATACTATATAATTATACTTATAATACTAATATAACTCTAATTCTCTTTCAATGTCCTCAAATAATTCAACATAAAAAATATTAGTTTAAATTATTAAACTTATTGCCAGAGAAAGTACTACTGACTTTTGGGGTACTTCTGTGCTTGGATGTTCTCCGGCACACACACACAATCACAACACATAAAAGTTAACATTTTCAAGCTCCATGTAAAGTAAGTTGAATTTTACAACTGAACTGCAAAATGGGCCCTCATTCAAGAATCAAAAATAATTTCAATAATCAATATTAATGTTTAGCTCCATTTGCCAAGCCCTCAGACCACTTACAGACGAAGATGAGGGTATGTTTGGAATCCGGAGGAGCTGATCAATCTTTATATTAGATTTCCGCACTCTATAACCTATTAAGGGGAAACAATTTTGTGAACTGCACTTTTTTTTTCATTTCTACTTTTTATTTAATTAAAAGTTCAATAAAATACTTGTATCTATTCTAGGCAACCACTAATAAAAGCGGGTCTTTCAGTTCAAGCCTAGGGTGCCTAAAGTTCAATTTTTAGCGCTAGTGCTAAAAGTGAGACGAGACTCAACTGTTCAGACAAACCCTTGAATTCAACAAAGGAAACCAAACACTTTCGTGTGACTGCATCAGGTACTACTGACCTTAATGTACCTTTAAGTTATTTGTATACTGAAATAAAAGTAAAATGAAGATCTGTAAAGAAAGAAAGAAAAAAAAAGTATTACACACGTGGTAAAAGTGATTTTTGTTTGTAGGATTGCTCCCTCGGCTTCGTGTTGCAACCATTACAACTCTCAAAATTTGACTATTTCCCGGCTGTTTCTTAAGTATATAATTTTTTATAACATTGTTTAAATATGATTGTATGTTAATTCTTGACTAAAATATTTCAAACGCAATACTTTTATTATTTTGTTTGGTCATCACCGCATCTATTGATGCCCAGATGCCTCGCCGCTGTATTAATAGTAATAACAATAATAATAATAATAATAATAATAATAACAACAACAATAAAACTTTCAAAAGGAATGAAGACTGCATTGTATTTTCTTTGTCAGTGATTGCAGTAATTAAATCTTTTGTTCCACAAGAACAAATTATTTAATTGTTCTTGAGACATGACTTTTTAAATTAATTTTTTGTTACTCTTTTTGAAAAGTGGATATATTGACCTAGACCATTGAGACACTTATTTCTTGATTAAAATCCACTCATTTCTCAGATATTTCATCATGTTTTTTTTCAATACTTTTCATATGATTTAATCGAGAATATAAAATCACATACAATTTCATATAACTCTTTTGAAAGTAAAATTACACCCAAAAAGTAAGAAATACAAAATTTAAGAAAAGTCATGAAATTATTTAAAAATTCTCAAACTATTTGGAAAATTTGATATGAAAGGAAAAAAATCTCAACCAGTAAGAATAATTGAGTAAATATCATAGAAGAACTGCAATAACTAAGTATATTTTCATCCAGAACATCAAAACACCAAACTTTTTGATAACATAATGCAATCAACTAAAAAATGGAACTATTGGAATGATGCAGTACGAAACATAGAATTTTTGTCAGAAAAACTTGTTTTGTAGGTATTTAATACCAAAAAAAGTAATAATTTTTGTCCCTCATTGTGGTAAATAACTTCCTCTAAAATGTTTAGTAGCCAGAATCCATATTTTGTGGGTCCTTGAGACCAAAAATCTGGTTTAAAAAAAACATGTCGATGTACACACAATGCTAGCAGCTATGCAGTAGGCAGGAAATGCATCAAAATTGATGTTCCCTAATCATTCTGGTAGATGTCACAAACCACCTCTTGAATTTGGAATGGATATTTTAATTTTTGGAGATACTTTACATTAAACACATTTTCAAAAATTCTCAAAAATGGTAACAAATTTTTAAAATTTGTGTTTCTCAAATTTGCAAATCAGTACAGGTTGGATTGTCATTGAAATTTGAACAATTTTCATGTAATTTTGCATGAATTAAGGCAATTTTAAAAACAAGATTTTCTGACAAACTGTCCCAACTTTTATATTTTTCTTTAATTTTTTCATGAATAGTGTGAAGTGCAGTTATAAAAATGGCATAGGTCTGATTTACATTGAATCCTAAATTTTTGGAAATTGAAAAAGTTACAATCAATATTAATAATATAACACAAAGGTATCTTACTTTCTTTTTTGACAATCAATAAATAAACAAGTTTTCAAAAAACTTTTGCTTAATGTAACATGTTTTTAGTAAGTTCTCTCCGGCATATTTATATATTTTGTACTTACTATTTTTTACTTACATTTTTTTCCATACTTTAATCTCTGATTACTGTTTAAATTTTACTTTTGATTATTTTATTCCAAACAATACCATGAAAATTTGTGAAATTTTTTTCATTTTCAGACATACACAAAATGTCAAGTCCAGCAATATATGGACAATAATTTTTTTGTTGTAAAACTTGTTTATTCATTGATTGTCAAAAAAGAAAAAGGAATCATAATTTTCTTATATATTTGTCTGTTTGAAGATACAAATAATATGAGAAAGTACATGCTGTTGTAGTACCCGCACATACAGTTAATCATGCAGTACTTTTCTTTCTTCAATCAAAAGAAATTAACATTACATAAGGACTTACTAATTAATACTTTCATAATTATGAGGATGACCCCAACAACAAGATACAGAAAACTGTGTTTTGTGGTACGGGATTTTGTTCTAGTAAATGTTTTGGTACAATAACGGATCGAGGCATGTGGGCCATGTCCCCCCAACTCCCAAAGGCCTAGAGCTTTTATTCATATTCCAATATTTGGTAAAATTTATTTAAAAAATTATCTGTTTGAGTTATGTAATTATTTAAACAATAATATTGTATAGAATCATATCTACACTACATAAATAATATGTAATAACAAATCTGTTTTTTCCATACTTTAATCTCTGTTTACTGTTTAATTTTTAACAAATTTACAATTTTACAAACTAACATTTAACAAAATTCTATGATCCCCCCCCAATTGGCTGGATCCGCCTATCTTGGTAGTTATAGAAGACATTTGCTTGTTTACATTGTTTCTTTATCACGTTATTCTTAATATTTGTTCTACAAAACTTACTTAAAATTGAATTGAACAAGTAGACATTCTATTATACAAGATAATTGGATTCATGATTTTGGATATGTAACCCCCCCCCTCCCCCCCGATGATCTGACGTACATTCCAGAACACAATATAAATTAATAAATATGTTTACCACAGTCACAGACAGAAACAACTAAAACCAAGGCTATGGTATTGATGTTCTCTGAAATTGATGACAGTATCACACTGTGGGTATGGTGGTTCACTACCACTTCTGCTACTTATTTACACCTTCCCGTTTTCTATTGGAATATTTGGTTCCTTTTTTGCCAAGGGTTTTCTCTTGGTTAACCTGGAGCTTTGGATAACTAAGATTTTACTGTTTCTAATTACATTACATTTTAAATTGTGCATTAATCTGTAGCTCATTTGCATTTGCAAATAGTTTTTATTACACTGGTGCAAATATTTTCTTACCATTTCCTGCCCAAAATACTTACCTGTCTTCATTGCACAGATTACACTTCTCCCTTAAGCACATCACACAGTTGTTGAATATTTTGGTTGTTAAATAAAATTTTAAAAAAAGTCTAAATGACAATAGCTAAGACTTGCAGTATGTAACATTGCATGACATAGCTTCTGACACTGAAAAAAGGCAAAACTATTGTTCCAAAAAGCTTTTTTAAGAGAAAGTAAGTTTTCATAAATTAAATCTATTGAAAAACTTTACTTATTTTTTTCTGTTTAATTTGTATTTACATAAAAATGTCAGAAAACACTGTTTAATTTACATTTAAACCCGTAACAAAAATACATACATTTCAAACAAATAAATCTCTGAATAGAAAACAATGATTATTTCATATCAGTTATATATTTTACAATATGTTTAGTAGATTCTCAAAGATTTGTTCACCAACTCTTCTCTGGCAGTTTCGAGCAAATGCAAAATTACAATAATTACAAAACTTATATCTAGAATTCCTGCCACATCAGTCTTCATAAATACAAATAAATGAGCATCTGCCTGTAACAAACAAACATGCAGTAGACTATTAAATGTTGAACGTTTCCTCTAAAATTAAAACTAAAACTTGAAATCAAGGAGTCCACATACAAATACTAGAATAATATTTGTTTTGCCCCCTAAGTAATAGTTTTGATAATAATTTTGAATGTCAATTATTGAAGTATTTTCTTTTTTATGACGTGTTAATAACAATTTTTTACAGTATTTTATTAGAATATTTGTTCAATTTTTGTCTCTTATGATATCAGGGAGTTTTTTTTGTTAGTAAATAATACACCATTGCATGAATTTTGGCTTCAGAAGTCTGTGCTGGATATATTAAATACAATATATATATTTTTTTTGAATCACATTTACTTATGATTCAATTTATTTTAAAATCTCATTCATCAATTCATTACTTACTGTTTGTAACTTAGTCTGGAAGACATTTTTCATTAATTATCATAGAAATAATTTACTCTTCATTTTGATCCTCATCAGAGTATGAATCCATGTTAGCACATTGTTCAATAGCTTGCAAAAATGGAGAGGAATTCCCCGTGTTTTTCACATTAGAGGGAGGGCCAGCAAGTTTGGCTAATAAAGATGCAACAACCTCCTTGTTCACATCACCTTCACTCGATGGCGTCTCCTCAATCTGTTGAAACAAACTGTTATTACTTCTTTATCAATATTATTTAAGGTTTTAGTGTTTTCTTTGTGATCAAAATAACAAAAATGGGATTCACTTATTTATTTACATTGGAAACTTTTATTACGAAACATAAACATTCAGTAGATGTTACATTCATGCTATTTTTTTCATCTGTTATGAAATCATCTTCAAATTAAATATTACATTTCAAAATGAATCTGAGTCATCAGGTCATATGATATGCCACTTTATTCATTCAATATAAATCAAACCAAACATGTTGCCTGAACTTGCTTAGAAACTTCTCAATAAAAATTCCATGTAAAAACATCTACAACAACAATTTGGTATTGTCTTTATTTAACAAAAAATTCCCCTTAAGACCTTGTTGAATTGAAATACTAAATTTGTGTCTCAAATTACCTGGCCGGTTTCATTACTTGAGGCTGGTGACACTGGTCTAAGTTGCTCGATTCGATGTTTGTAGTCCTGACGAGCTTTCTCTACAGCAGTCATCAGGTTGCGAAAGTTGTGCTGCAATGAAGAAGCAGATTAAATATTAAATGTGTTTCAGAGACTTACAATAATAAATCTCTGCTTAACCAAATTGCTGTTTATGGGGAAAGTCTCTCACCTCAGTGCCATCATAATTTAGAACTCCAACACAGCTCACTGGCACTTTCTTCTTTAATATGTAACCCAGATGTCTCCGACTGAGAGTGAACACATAAGGCACTTCATTAGCAACAGCTAATCCTTTCAGCTTGTCCACTAAATCATCCAGGCCACCTGCATTGTCAAAAAATTTACAAAATTAATTTTTGATTACTTGGAGAACTTTATTAAATAAGGTTTAACATAAAAAGACCCTTAGCAAGAACCCAAACTCAACTAAGAGAATATTTTTACAAGGTGTTGACTATCTTTATTCACAACTTGTTAGATTATTTTGAATTACTTTAAATTTTAGATGCCTATTTGGCAACATATTTAATATAACCTCATTAAATATGTTTGCTGAAGTAAAAACAATTGGAATGATTTTTTATTCAAGAAACAAATACTTTATATTTAATTAACAAATGTGATTAACAAATTATTAATGTGATTATTATCTATGATAATGAAAATTCACAATTTCAAACACTTATAAATATATAATTAGTAAATTTATTTTTGTAATATATAATAGAATATAATAATAAAATAAAATAAAATACGCAATAATAATTTTATTTCATAAAACTTCAAATTTCCCATCTAAAGACCACAAATTCGTGTGTTCAAACAAGACCAACAAACACACATCATTTCCAAAAACATAAAACACATACCTGAAGAAGTTGTTGGCTCCAAATCAGGGGCAATAACTAAGAGGCGCACACGCCTCAGAGCCAAAAACTTATGCACTTCCTTCAAACCAGTCACATGACGTCGTTTGGCAGATGCTTTCAAAGGACTGTGAGCAAATTGACGATCATGAAACTTCACAATGTCTTCAAGTAAAGAAGTTGCAGTGCTCAGAATATCTGGAGTTATGAAATGGTCACAATAGCTGGAAAGATAGATGTAATTGTCTTAATTTCTCTTATCAAGTAGCATATATATAAAAATAAAAAAATCTCCAACTCCAGCGAATGTTGTGGTACTTTGATATAAAAAAATATTGTTTTCATTAGTTTAAGACAGGAAAGATCAACAAAAACAGAAACAGTATAAAAGAAACTTACTCTCTAAATTTGCGGGAATGAATTTTAGGTGTAGAAATTTTGGTTTCATTCTTCCGTAGAGAGTCATCTGCTTGACCATTTAGTAAAAGCATTAATTTTTTCCTCTCTTCCATTCTAATAACCTCTTCATTCTTTTCTACTAGAGTTTTGTTCTCTTTTTCTTTACACTCCTTTTCGTCCGTCAAATTTTGCTTGCATTCAGTTTCTTCCACACCAATAGAAATATGATCTAATTCCATAAGCTTGTGTTCACTTTTTACTGCCTCTTGGGCCTTGGAAATATTCACATTACAAGAATCAGAGAGAATTGGTTTTACTTCGCTTACTTCATCATTGCTAGAATTTTCACTGCTTGAGAGATTTTCTCCTTTATTTTCATCTTTGACATCAACCTTGCTTGAAGTGTTGAAAGCCTTTTGGAGATGGCTCTCCTTACGCTTTTCACGTTCTTTCAGAATTATCTGCTTGAGAGGAGTTGGCTTCTTTGCCTTGGGCACTTCCCGCTGCTTACCTCGTTTCCTCTCTGGATTATCTGAATCTAAAATATTTCCTGCGTATCGTGCAGTTTCTACCTTTTGAACAGGCTTACTGGGATACTGTTTCACAGAAACTTCAACTTTGGTCTCCTGCACCTTGAAAATGAAGAAAGGTATTAAGGAATGCAAGAGAAAATGCGACTTCAAAATTGATTCAGAGAGCAATATTTTTGGTAGATGTTTTTGCTGTTAAGAAGCAAATTTCAAATACTTTGCAATTTCAATACACACACATAAAATAAAATTATATTTAATGGAAATAGTTATTGAAGATCAATCAGGTGAAAGAGATCCTTTGTTTTTGTTTTCTCAATATACAAATTTAACCGAAACTTTAATAATAAAAGTAATAGAAACAAAATCTGTGATACACAAGAATTTGAATATTACATTTTGAAATGGTATTTACTCAACAAAATTTATCAATGTTTGAATAAAAGGGACTAAAAGTGCTGTTCTTTGTCCACAATTAAACAACTCTATACAGTCCCAAAAGTATGAAAATGCTCAACTACAACAATATTACATGAGTTTCTAAAGTTATGCATGTTTTTGGAGTTTTAAATATCTGTAGTATCTCACAAAAGTTTTTATTGCAAACCAGAAACGTACAACCAAATCAGCTCTTCATTCAGCGAGAAAGAGGTAAATATAAAAATGAACAGCATGTACTAATATTACACATATTATAGGTATATATTTATGCAATTTTAATGCTGTTTTGCTCACCTTCAACATTTCATTGATATCAAGCTGTATAGGATCCCGTCTTTTAGGTCTCTTTCCTGCAGATTTGTCATCAAGTTTTGTTGCCTTTTTTGAATCATCTGCACAATTAGTTTCTTTGTTTCCTTGATTCTCTTGTGATTTCTTTCTAGGTGCAACAGTTGCAACTTCAGATGAAGAGAGCTTTGAGTCATGGCTCAAATCTCTGCAATTGGTTTGAGCAGTGCTAGTTTTCAATTCGACAGGTGGTTCTGAAAGCACTTCTGGAGCAGAAGCAATATTCCCAAAATTTCCTGTTTCCTTTTTGCTACCTTTACGTTTTTGGTTCCGGATAGATGAACTTTTGGAAGCAGCTGATGTAACTTCTCCTAATGTTGGGAATTCAGATCCACTGTATAAGTTACTTCTAACTTCTATATTAACAGGTGTGCTTTCCTTCACCAAGAATCTAGAAAATAAAGGTAATGTTAGTAATTACAGCAATATTAAATTAAATATTCTCTTTTTTTAAATTCCCTATTTTAACTTGTAGAGGGCTTTATGACATGACAATGCTACCAACAACAATTAAACTAGCTTAGTGCAAGTAAACTCATGGCAAGTTAAAATGTTCCAAACTAAGAAATATGTTAATAAATGAAAGTAGGAAGGTGGAATCAGTAGTGTAATGAAATGAGTGTGGGCTCGCCCACAAAACTTTTATCTGTGCCTCCTTATGAAAGTATTTAGCCAATACAAGTAGTATAATAAAAAATATCCCCTAAAAACGAGCTGTTTTACCTAAGCCTACCAGTATTGTGGGCCTGAACATTATGCCACTGACTGGAATGCTTATAAGGTCATAGTAAATGAGAATCTGAATTTGTAATTTACATTACACAGACATGACAGGGGACAAACACATATTAAAGTTCAAATAACGCTGAAACAAAAACTTGAGCTCTGTGAAATAAGCTTGGAAATGATAATAAATCAACGTGTACGATTTTTGAGATAAATAATACGTAAGGCCAAGAACCGCCAATATTATTTAGTACTTTTCATCTCCAAATGTATAAGTAAAAATGAAATGAACTTTTTGTTTATTAAAGAAAAACAACTAATGTTGTGCTTCTATAAAACATCAAATCTTTTCACAATGCTCTTTAATGGGAATGACTCTCAATTCCATCCCACATAAAGTCAGTCCATTTCATTTAATATCTAGTAAAAATATTCTTTGCTGACCTGTCCAAAACACTGTGATCAATGATGGTAATTTTTTGATCCTTTGGGCCAAGTCTCTTTTTTCTCATTTCTTCCTCTCGCTGAATGGCCTTTTCCTGCTTCTTCATTTCTCTTTTTACTTTTTGTCTTTCTCTTCTCAGACGCCGCTTTTCCTCCAAATTTGCTTCAAAAGTAACATCATTGGCAGTGTCTGAAGTGGTTGCGGTGGTATGATTAGTAGTGTCTTGAAAGTTGTTAACACCTATGTAAGATTATTTAAGCGTCAATTAGTTAATACAATATCAACTGAAAGAATGGTTTGATTGATATTCTTAACGAATAAATAGTTACTGAAAATGTTAAAATAAAATGTTATAATATAATTCATGTTTCAATTGAGTTTAATATTGATTCTTACTTTGATCTGTTGCGAGCTCATTATTAATACTCTTCTGTAATCCACTGCGACTTGATGGTTCACTAACATTAGTCAAACATTGATATCTATTCTGTAACGTTCTTAAGGACTGATTATTGTTGGATTTGTTTACTTCTAAATTTTTATTATCATAACTGTTAAATTCCTTATGATCAGAAAAGTGAATGGATGCTTCTAGTGTTCTCCATTGCTTAGTTCTTCCAGTGACATTTGTTGTCCTACTTCTGGTACCACTGTTTGCTACTTTACTGTACGAGGCATTTGAATTTGTGGGTAAAGGCCAACTCCTTGGTTGACTCTGAGTCCTCTTTTCTGCATTATTCCAACAGTTGTTTTTATTAAGCTCTGGATAATCATTATTCAGACATGCCATGTTTGAATACAGAAGTAGGTAGTGTCTATCCAATCTTTAGATATTGCTTTTGTTCACATAAACACTTAGGCACAACCCTATTAATTGGAGGGCAGTAAATACGAGACCACACATATCAAACTACATGACACTGCTTTGATCTAGTACAAATAAACAAGCACATCAATAGCCACTGAAATAATCACCATAAGGTTGTACTGTCAAACACACGTTTAAATACAGAATAATTCTATTCCGTATATAAATCTTGCATTGCTGTTTACAAGCATCCAACGACGAAGGAATCCGTCAATTCCAAACATTATAACAAAGTTGTTTACAAGCTCGATATTATGTAATGAACACGTCTCAACAGGTAAATTAATTAATTTTCAAGAAATAAAAAGAAACTGAATTTAAATAAACGCATGAACAGTAACAGTCAAAACAACACACTCGTAATTATACATTTTCTAAAACAATATTTTTTATCAATTCACGCGAAACACAATTTACGTTGGTAGTGCTTCGTTCATGTTGGCAAAATTGTATATCAGCTGCTCATAGCGGAATGTTCAAAAGTACAATGTGTTTCAAGCAGAAATAGTTACACTGTAACTAATTAAAAAGTAAATGGATTTGTAGGTCTTTAATTAGATGAATCATTGATATGAATCAATATATACATATTGCCTACTGATGTAATTAATCACTTTATTTTTTCACTCTCCGTGATAGGTAAAAAAAATAAGGAAAAAACCAACCACATGTAGTAAGAGAGAATGGAGTGAAGTTATTTTTTAAAAGTCATTAACTAACAACAATAATAATTAATTTGGGAAAGTAAGTTACGTCTATTTTTAGAATAAAAGTTTGGCTACCGCCTCTACTTTACGAAAAGGAAGATTAATATACTCGGTATCACTGTATCTCACGAGATATAGCAGAATTTGTGTACTCTTATTATAAATAAACATTTAATAAAGGCTCTATAAAAATAGCAAGTTTATGCTAATAAAGTGATGGATAAAGTTACATTTTTGTATTCTAGCATTATAAAAGAACCTTTTCTGTTGCAAGAAAGTGTGGCGCGATCTCGGCCTTGATGACCAACAGCAGAACGAAGTTGAAATTAATACTGCAGCTTATCTTTGAATTGCATTTGGCACGATCGACCAAGACATCTAAATACATTCATTTTCATTGATTAACAATATTGGATACATAACGAAGTTAACCAACCGTTAATTTTCATCATTGACTCGGGATCACATTGGACTTATAGATATTAAAAATGACCAAATTTTTCCAGACGTCATCATTTAAAAAGCTTAATTAACAATATCAAAGAAGAATTTATTCGAGTGACTGATATATAATAAACTTTGTTGACTTGAACCTTGGTGACTGCCGTTGATCTTCCCGATGCCTGAGCAGGAGAATTCTAGCTCTAGAGGAGAATTCTAACGGCCGCAGTGTGTGTAATTTTGGCTTGGTAGTCTAGGTGAAACACAATCAGAATCTACAAAACTTTAAATGGTTTACTGTTATACAAAGTAGTATATATTGAAAGTAAATTATCAAGTTAGTATATGGAACAATTTAAAAAAAAATATTTTGACGGCAACTCTTTTCTTTTCCAAACTAAAAAAGTTGAGCAACAGGTGTCAATTCACGAACTGAGAAAGAAAAACGCAAATAGAGATAAAGTTAAAATATATAACTAATTTTAAATTAAACAAATTGTATTATATTTTGTGAAGCGATGAGAAAGAAAATAAAAATATAGATTAGCCAATATGTAAACAAATTAAAGAATTAGATTGAAAAATGGTTATTACGAACCACTTAATGTTCAGTCACCAAGTGATGTATCGTCGGATGAGGTAACGGCGTACTTCTTCAGTCTTGTTGATCAATGTATAGCAATTAAAGAATTTGTTGGTTGTATTATTTCTTTTTTGTTTTAAAGAACATTGCCTTATATTGATCAGATTTTATGCGAAGTCTGTTCATGAGATGTGTGTTAGTGTCTACTCATGACGTCTTCCTTGTAAATACTTTACTAAACATTCCGTTGCCCTTGTTTCTTCCTTGGGCTGCTTATTCTTATTTCTTCTTCTTCTTCTTCTTCTTCTTCTTCTTCTTCTTCTTCTTCTTCTTCTTCTTCTTCTTCTTCTTCTTCTTCTTCTTCTTCTTCTTCTTTTTCAGAGAACTGTCTCATAGGGAGATTCCAACCTTCCATTATATCTCTTTCATGGAAAATTATCTTATGAAGAGTTACAGGCATGCAATACCAGTTCCAGATTAAAGTCTCGAGTGTCATTAATACCGTTTCAAAATTATTGAAGTTAATCCCCCCCCCCTGTTTAGGCATTCTAATATGACTCCCAAAACGCTTTATGTTGAGGTTTATTCGATTTTTCCCTTGCCTCTTGTATTGAATTACTATTGATATTTTGTGGCATTTCTAAGAGTACATTGCTCAGGCCCGTGTTAACACCTGTTAACCCACGGGCCCGAAAAGCCCGGGCCCAGGGCCTCCAATGTTCAAGGGATCCTAATAGTGCTTAAAAAATAATACTGAATTTCTCAAAATGTGAGTGAAAAAAACGTATAAAAAGTGATGTAGGATTAAACTATATCCCAAAAATATACCCAGTGTGGTTACACAAAAATAAACAAAAAACTACTTTAAGCGTGATTGTCACCATTTTAGGTTTGTTATGTAATAATGTTGCTAGTTCGAATTACAATTGTAACATGACAATTGAGCACTCTGTACTGATTTTTATAAAACTCTATTGTTCATCAAACGGCCAGAGTAGCACTGCTGTCGGCGCTTCTTCTTCCATCCTGGTGAGAGAAAGGGGGGTCGTCCTGTGGAAGAAGGCTCATTGCGACGTTTGGTATCATTGAGTAGCTTCTTGTAAATTATTGAACCCTTTTTATTTTTTCTATTTGAATGGTAAAGGTAAAAAAAAACTAATGTTTTAATTTTTTTTTGCTTATTTTGATTTTTGTCGATTTTAGCGCCATCTACCACGAAACGAAAAAAGTGATCAAATACAAAAGTTACGTATTTCTCCCCGAAAAATCAGAATCTACAATAAAAAACGAGGATTCCATTTTACCTTCCCCCCCAACCGCTGGGGGTAATTCTGGTGTCATTAGATGCGCCTCGTCGATACAAACAACTTTCATTTCTCTCTTTTCTAAATCCGATGCGCACTTTTCGGATTCCCAAAAACAGTTTTCAATAGAACACTGTATAAGCACAATCTCTTTTACCTTGTTTTCTTAATTTTATTTCAGTAGGTGTCCCAATTTCAGTGGATGACTTTAACAGCGGTTGTACTTCCTGTTTTTACTTTTTTATCTTTAGGACCACACAAACAAAAAGACTTAAGTGGTCGGTCGAACACTATATTCACATCATCTCATTTTGAAGTGCTTAAAGCAATTTTCAATGAATCTGTGAAAAATGTGATGACTTTGTGAAGCCACGATGAGTAATTTCTCTATAAAATGCTGTTATTACCTTGCAAATTTCCCCCATCTTTTGATAATGAACTGAAAAAAATGGCTAATTTGAGTTTTCAACGGAATTATTGAAATACCAATAAAAGACGTCGTCGTAAAAAATATTCGAAAGTACGGCATCATACCTAGCCTCTGTGGAGCTTTCGTATCAAACATTAAATAACGTCCATCGTGAAATTGAGCGTATCTCTACGGAAAAAAACCCAACAAAACTCTTGATTGCGCAGGTATGTGCAGCTGATCTTTCGTGGTTTCTATTGTCAAAAGAACAAGGTTCAATGTCTGTATAGTCATAAGTGTCATAATGGTAAATTATGTATTAAGAATGTAGGTAAATTTGTAAAATAGCGTAAAAATAACATTAAAAATACTTTTTTTAAACACTCTCCGAGTAATCAAGAGCTATTTTTATTTATCCTGAGACACTTTAAAAAACCATTCGAAAATACATTTCGTGAATATCAACCGTTGTATAAGTACCAGTTGATGCACATTGGTAAGAAACATATGATGTGAATTGCAACTGACAGAGCCATCCGGTAACACCGCAAGATCGTGCATCTTTGGACTTGTTTTACTGCCGCTCCTGGCGATTCAGAAGAAAAACAATTCCTATTTTATATAGTATAAACCTTTTAAAATCAAACAAATATCCCAGATAACTCTTCTGAATACATTGGAAAATGTACTTTTTTCAGCTAGATCGCCACAATTACACACTGTGGGCCGGCTGCTATGTTCGGTAGTTTACCATGGTTTCTTCGATCAACACCAGGCGAAAGGAGGAGCAGTACCATTACAGACCAAGGACCGCGCGCGATATTTCCTTCCTCTTCTTTGCCCTATCTTCAGCTCTTACCTTCTACTACATTACCCCTACCTTACTGCATTTATTTGTACTACACTACCATACATTTCGCGAGACAAGGCGAGATCTTAAAGCCTTATTTATAAATATACACTAAAAGTATTCCAATCATTTGTATTTGTATCAACCATTGATATTTATTCCAACTATTATCTCTGAACTTTAATCGTATTGTTTTAAAGTACTGCAATCAGTGATAAATATTGAACATATTAAATGACAGCGTAGGCTTTCGCGGCCGGAATCAGTAAATACTTGGCTGCCGGGGGTCGCAGAATGTCGGCCGAAACGTTGGCACCTGTGCCCAGGTCGTGGCCTATCCTCCCGAGCAGACAAGTATTTATATTGAAAGACTTTTCATGAGTAAATGTTAATTATTATGATGCAAATATTATTATCTAAGTTATTTTAATCTGAATCTTTCAGAAATAAGCAATGAAAATTGGTTTTTGTTATTTACTAGTTGGTTATTCGGAGTTGCACTGGCATTTTATTTACCGATCCGCCCCACCATCTTGCCTTACTCTGCCCACCCCATGTCGCTCCCTTCACAACAATGCCACCTAGATGCATTGCAGATTGCATTTAAGAACACACGTAAAAAAACAACAAAATTTGGGGTCACATTATGAATTAATACTCGCGCAACGTTTCTTGACCTTGCTTCCCCTTCTCTGGCACAATAAACAGTTGAGGGCAAAATCTCGCAACGAGCAGTGATGACAACATTCCAAACATTCTTCACTGGCGCGAAATAGAAACAATTTTCTTTTGAAGACGAGAACTTCTATCCGTTATTTTCTCCAAAAATGTAAAGAAATCACCAAAGCAAATAAAGATCTATCACAGGAGATATCTCGAACTCCTGAGAAAGTTAGATAGCAAATTATTGAGAATGTTGCGAAGGCATGACTGATTCTCCAGAGATTTGCATAACTTCATAAAATCAGGTGGTCGATTTCGTAAGTAATACCCCCACTCTACCCACATTTCTTCAATCCATCTTTCGAGAAACCTTGCGCGAGTAATACCACACCTCTGCTAGGTTTTTTGTATGTTGCTTAAGAGGAATTAGTGCAAAATTTGAGAGAATAGTGATTCAAAAGTGATTGTGGAACAT